GTAAATCTTCCCCACATTCTATTGGCAAATTTCAACCGAAAGCCTAGCCTTTGATTCATTTATTTCCATGAATGGTATCCCCACAGGGCATCACAGGAGCCCGTCTGCCAAACCCTGTCATTCAAAGGGAGTTTAGGTTGTACCTGTGGCCCAATCTGACACGGACATGATGTGCCTCTCAGCGTGCCATTCTCCTGCCTTTCGTCTGCACCACATAATGCATTTTCCTCGAGCAGGGCCATGTCCGCAAGGAGGCTCACCTCTGACTGATGCGTACAGAGAAGGAGAGATGGAGCGGCTGTTCCTTGGATTGACAGCAAAAGGCAATGGAGGGCGCAGAGCAACCTCCATCCAAGAAGGCTGGAGCTCTTCCTCTAGGCCACCTGCCTATCAGAGTGACATAATAGATGACACAGGCAGAACTGAAAATTACTGCTGACACATCCCTGCTGATTCTCTCCTTCTTTCTCTCCCTCTCTTTCCACTCCACTGTTAGGCCGAGGAGACAAGGAAATCTGGCTTTGAAAGCAGCTGTCACGGATGGCTTGTCTTGCCGGATTGAAGTCTTAAAAATGTTGCCGCAGCAAACCCTGAAGAGCGTAGAGGGAACAGGCAGCAGGGAATAAGTTCAGAACTCCATTAAGTTCCAAGAGTACAAGAAGAAAGGATGGGGAGGGCTGTGTGGTTTTGAAATCACCCTTCTCTTTCCTTTCCCTTTTCATCCCTTCAGCTCAAGGGTGGACAATTGCATCTTGGAAAGGGGACAAGGTTTGCATATGCCCCAGGACAGGTTGTACTACCACATTTTTTTCCAACTCCCTAACTCATTCTGTATACAAAACAGTATAAGGGACTTGGCTTACTATGAAGCCTTCCCAGCATATGCAAAGACTGCCAAGTTGTCAGTGGCTTTCACAGCTGGCATCCATAGTGTGGGTTTTTTAGGCTGTGTGGCCATGTTCTGCAGGAATTTATTCATAACGGTTCATCTGCAACTGTGGTTGGCATCTTCAGAGATTGGTGGCATGGAAATGTGTAGAGTAAATATACCTGTGGGACCCACACACTTCCATGCCACCGGCCTCTGAAGATGCCAGCCATAGTTGCAGGCAAAACTTCAGGAATAAATTCCTCTCGAATGTGGCCATGCAGCCTGAAAAAACCCACAGAAAACTGCCAAGTTGGTTTCCTACAGTTTCCTCACTTCAATTATAGCTGGCCCTCCTTGGTTTCTCTTTCCAACCTTTCTTTGACCATACAATCTGATCTCATCATGAACACAAGTTCAAGCAAGCTTCCGATGAAGCCCAGTGTCTTGTTGGACACTTGGGAGCCTATTATTGCAAACCTTGAACAAACTGACTGTAGTAATAATAAAAAAAGATGAAATCCCACACACCCCAAATCCATCATTCTCCTAATTAGTATCATTACCTCACTCTTGGGCACATTTGGTTTGTTTTACCAGACCTTTTGAGGTTGATGTGTGTAAGGAAATACAGGCTTTGTATGGAAGACGTACCATTGATTTCTATAAATGTCACCGTTTAATATTTCCTTTCTTCCTTCTCCACCTTGACGCCTTTATAAAGTGGGATGTTTTATCCTGCCTTTTTTGACAACCTGGGCTTGTTGAAAAAATGTCTCCACATTTTTTTTAAATGCCCGCTTCTCGCCTGCACGCTTAATTTTTTTTATCCACTTTCTCCATCATCTCCCCACCAACACATACCTTTAAAGGTTACATCTAATTTAGGATTTGCCATTTTGATTCTCTTAATATGGTTCTATGGTTTGTACGGCTTTATCTAAACCTTGCTCATTTCCATCACTGGCTTTCGCCTGAAATGCCTACCATTCTTTATAGCTCTGAGTTAACTTCAAACAACATTGGACAAAGGTTGGAATCCCATAGTTTGCTCCCAATCAGCCATTCCAGTGAATAGATAGATAGATGTTTGCCTATTGGTCTTCCCCCTTCTTTTACTATCCTTCCTTTACTAATGCTCCATGCTGGGAATGAGACATTTAATCTATCTTTGTCATTCCTGCCATATAATAGGATTTTTGTTTGATTTTGATTTAATCTAGAAAGGACACCACCTCTTGCCCCAGGACAACCTACCAGGCTTCCCCCAATAGAATGAAGCACTCTTATCAAAAGCTTATTAAAAGAACATCTTAATAATCACAACTGGTGGCCCACCTTTGTCTGTGTGTGTGTGTGTGTGTGTGCGCGCACGCATGCATGCATGTGAACACATTTGAAATAGTTAATCAATGCCAGAAGCTGAATGAATTGCTACATGAGATGTCCTGCTAGTTTGGCCTGTATGTCTGAGGGCAAGTTAACTCAATGGCTTCAACTTTTTCCTTATGATCTTCTATACAATTGAAGTTGAGCTGTGTCAGATGATCAGATTGCTTGATCAGTCACAGCTGCGGTTCTTTAAAGAAGTCAGAGCTGCTGACCACACTGTAGCCTACTGCAATCAAAGTAGGTTTTAATGAATGTATCTTCCCTTTATTGGTTGATCTATTTGGTCCAGCCATCCCTGTTGAACTGTTCCACTCTCAGGAATTGATGGTCTTCTCCTGTAGACTTTCAGTCTGGAAATAGGGCTGGTCTACCCATTAGTTTCCAAGGGAAATGTTGGTATCACCGTGTCCAATCTTAATAAGACCCATAACATCTGAAAAATGATTGGTTTGTTTAACCTTGTTCCATGTGTGAGAAGCAGCCACCTATGATCTATACAATCCAAGGAATATTTTATTTGTTACATTTATGCTTTCTCTTTCTGTCAAACAAAAGGTATGTGTGTATGCGTGTGGGGGGGGGCACATTATCCACTGGAATTTGGTTCCAGAACCCCCATGGATACCAAAATTCATGGATGGATCTATGGTTTGGATCCCAACTCAGCCATGGATACCCACTGGATGACCTGTGGCAAATCACACTCTTTCAGCCTCAAAGGAAAGCATGGCAAATCCCCCTCTGAATAAAACTTGCCAAGAAAACTCCATGGTAAGGTTATCATAGGTTGACCAGTGGTCCTCAAATTTTCACCCTCCAGATGTTTCAGCCTTCAGCTTCCAGGATCTCTACCCAGATGCCCAACAGTGAGGATTTCCTAAATGTTGGGATGATTGAAGTTTGAGAGACACTACAGTAAACAAATGTAAGCAAGGTGATGGACCATGGAGCTACCTTGGTCTCTTGAATCTCCTTATGTTCCTTCAAGGCAAGGAACTTGACCATGGTATTCTTGGATGGGCTTCTTCTTTTCCATCCTCCAGTTTCAGGCTTATCCTCCAGTTCCTGTGTCATTGTGAGATGTGAATCCACTCTGTGTTTTAGTCCTGTCATGAAAGCTACTATCCAAGGTGCTAAACCTATTTGGGGAAGAAATTTCAGCACCTTAAACTGGTTCATAATGAAACCCAGAGGCTATGAGATGTCACTGGTGATTTCTTCAGGAGAAGTTTCTTCTTTCTTAGACATTGTCTTTTCCAGAGTTGGTCTTTTTGCCAGCTCCAGTACATAACAGCAGGGGTAGGCAACCTTTCCCCTTTAAGGGCCGAGGGACTTCAGCTCCCAGAATCCCAGGAGCTATTGGCCAACATGGGACTATTGGCCAACATGGCTGAGGCTTCTGGGAGCTGAAGTCCCTCGGCCCTTAAAGGGGAAAGGTTGCCTACCCCTGCATAACAGTTTCTTCTTCATTTTAAAAGCCAAAACCTCTTTACTTTCAATGTTATCTATCTTGTACAGCATTAATTGTTTCTGAAACCCCTTCTTGGTCCATCTGCCATGGCTGGCATATCAATCCAACCTCTTTGGAGAGGGGGAAGGGACAGAAGAAGAAAAATTCTAGCTAATTTATATCCTTGCTTTTTTATTTTTATTATTCCCGATGTAAATTTGATTTTAATGCACAGCCTCTGCTACATCAATATCTTTTCAGCTACTAGGGGATAAAAGAAAACCACAAGTAAGCAAGCTCGCAAGGGAAAGGAGGTATCTCATTTGGCTGGCTTTCCTTTGAGAAAGGAGGATGACGTGAGAGAAATGCAGATGAGTCTGATGCACCACTGCCAATGGGACACTTGATGCAATGTGGCAGAGAGAGTGTCATACTACTGCCAAGTGCCATTGTGAGCCGAGGATGAGCAAGTCCAAGAAAGAAGAAAAGATGAATCGCACTTAGGAGTCTCCATTCTCCACTTGTTTCTTCTGCAAGTGTTACCAGTGCTCTTAGTTGGTAGGGAAAAGATGCCAAGAGAGGAATTACCTTAGAACTGAGCTTTGTTGTCATTGTTCTGTGCCTTCAAGTAATTTTTGACTTACGGTGACCGTAAGGCATTCACCAATAAATGGGGTTTTCTTGGCAAGTTTCTTCAAAGAGGGTTTGCCATTGCCATCCTCTGAGGGTGAGAGAGTGTGACTTGCCCAAGGTCACCCAGTTGGTTTCATGGTGGAGCTGGGATTCAGACCCTGGTCTTCCAGTATCTTAGTCCAATGTTCAAACCATTACACCATACTGGCTCTCTAGAACTGAGCTAGAAGCTCATATATGTGTTTTTTTTTCTATGTAAACATGTATGGAGGAGTACAATAACATCCAAAATCCACAAAACAGTGAAATCTGCATTGAGCCATACATGAAGGCAGGTTTCTCCTCCTTCTGGCCATGTGGGTTGTTGTAGTTATTGTTGTGTGCCTTCAAGTCATTTCCAACTTATGGTGACCCTAAGGTGGACCTGTCATGGGGTAAGATTTGTCCAAAGGAGGTTTGCCATTGCCTTTCCCTGAGGCTGAGAGCATGGGACTTTTTCCCAACGTGACTGAGTGGATTTCATGGTTGAGCTGGGAATCAAACCCTGGTGTCCAAAGTCATAGTCCAACACCAACACTCAAGCCACTGTGCCATTTTGGCTCTCAAGAAGTTTTGTTGTGGTTGTGCAACCCTATCCTGGGGACCCAATGGGTTTCATGGTTGAACTGGGAATTGAACCCTGGTCTTCAGAGTCATAGTCCAATGTACAAACCACTACATCACACTGTCTCTCAAAAAGTTACTATGCTAGCAAAGATGAAAAAAAATGAAAGACACAAGCCATTAAAAAAACAAAAACAAAGCACAGAATGATAAATCCTCAGAGAATAGCAATTTATCAGCTCAGCATAAATCCGTTGTGACACTGACATCATCGTCCTGGTTGGGAATATGCAAAATGAAAGGGGGTTTTGTACAATGGAGTTGTGTATTTTTCCTCCTGATGTGGGGAAGGAATAAAGCAGTGGGAGAGTGAAAGAAATGTTCTGATGCCATCATGTGGTGAGAGAGGGAGATCTCTGTCCTCCTAAGAGGGCTCAGTGTGAAAAGAGACTTTTCCTCTGCCTTTAAGGATGAGAAAGAAGTTTGCACAACTCTCTATTTTTTAAAAACCTTTAGCAGATCTAATAAGAGTGCCTGAACATTTTTCAGTTTCTTGCTATCAGGAAGATGTTGCAAATAATAGATTTCCCCCACCCCCTTTTCCCTTTGGAATTATACAAAGAAATTTAATCTGCACTAGACGAAAATCAAAATGCATGTTTGGAAAATGAAAATACCACGTAAATGCACATCAGTCAATGTGAAAAATGCATCTGTTAAGAAATATGGGCTGGCATCCTGTTTGGGACTTGGGTCTTTGTAAATAGCCTTGTTTTTGTTTGTTCTTGTTGGGTGCCTTCCAGTCATTTCTGACTTATGGCTACCCTAAAGTGAACCTATCATGAGGCTTTCTTGGCAAGATTTCCTCAAGGAGGTTTTCCATGGCCTTCCTTTGAAGCTGAGAGCATATGACTCACCCAAAGTCATCCAGTGGGTTTCATAGCCAAGCTGGGAATCAAACCTTGGTCTCCAGAGTCACAGTCCAGTGCTCAAACCATTAAGAAATTGATTTCAATAGTTTCACAATGATGATATGCATCTAAGGACTTGCATAGTGTTACAACATACAGGCATCCATTGTGCATTGGTGGAATGGCTAATACACCATGGTCCAATATGCAATGAGCATTGATATATTGAGGTGCTCTTCAGTGCATATCCAGACCCTAACTGGGCACCCAATGTGCATCAAAAGTTCCCAGTGCATGTCAGAAGTGCCTAATGAACATCAGAAGTGTTTGGTGCACATTGGGACATTCTTGCCTGTGTCTGGATGCAATTCACTAACAAAGTTTCATTACATTTCTGCAATGTAGTTATGGATTAATAAAGTCATGAAACTTTGGCTGCATTGACAGCGCAGCATTAATGCAGTTTGACAATGGTTTAACTACCACTGCTCAATTCTATGGAATCCTGGGATTTGTAGTTTGGTGAGATGTTTAACCTTCTTTGTCAGAGAGCTCTGGTACCACAACAAACTACAAACTACTCAGGATTCCATAGGATGGAGCCATGACAGTTCAAGCAGTGTCAAACTGCATTAATTTTGCAGTATGGTAGCAGTCTCAGACTATGATATCAGTTCTTCATTATGTATGATGCATCAATTTCCATGTGGAAATGGGCAGAAAAACCTGCAGTCTTGTAACCTCTTATGAAATAAAGACACAAACAACTTGCAGGTAAGATTTGGAGAAATGCATCAGAGTTAAAACAGGCTTTTCCTTCCCTGCCTCTATGAAAAAAACATTTTCTTGAAGGGTGTGGGAGATAGCTTTTTTCTGGGGATGCAATTTCACAGGGTCTTAAAAGAGCAGGAGAGCAAACACAAAAATGATCACACCCTATTAAAAGAGGTGATCTGAGCATCACTTTATCTGAAGCAGGAAATGCCACTTTGTTGTTCAATGCGTGGTGAGTCCAGGCCATTAAATTGCTGGTGGAGGAATAGTGATGACATCCCTGTGCTTCAGAAATCCATCAGAGATTATAAGAATGGCTTCCATTTTGTGCATCATGAGGACTCTATCATGAGTAACATGTTTCTCAAAGGAGAACCAAAACTGGTGTTCCTCAATGGACTTCTTTATCAGGCTTGAAATGGAAGATATTTTTGGAATTCCTCCTGGACAAAAGGTTAAAATGTAGGACATGTCCTGGAAAAAGACAACATCTGGTCATGAAGAATAGAAGAGGAATCCTAATGAATTGGAACAAAGGGATATCTGTTCTAGCATCCTGCCCAAGGTAGAAGATACCTAGATGGCCTCAAGGAAGTCCACAGAAAAAATACCAGAGAAGTTGGAGATGTCTACCATCCATGTGGTAGGTGTTGCTTTATGACTCTATGACATTCTTCCATAGAACTGCCACTGGTCTTGCCCTCACTCTGAATTGGTTTGTTCTCAATAACAAATCTGACTAACTATGTAGTGACACCACTGTTGCTAGGAAGGAAGTTGGTTTGGAGAAGGAAATCTGTGGGTGATGGATCTGTCCATTGGATCTTTCCAAAGCTTTTTAGACAGCTTTGGTCACTGACTGGTAGCAGGTAAGGAGACACCAAAATGAACACTGCTGAACAGAGGATCTCTATGCCCCCAGGGTCCTACCTTTTGAATACTTTCACCTGCATTCCCATAACTTGCAATATCAAAGGGATGGGAGGGCAATTTTCTCAGAGAAAGAAAGTTTGTAAAAACTTCCTACACATTCAGTTGAGCCTAGTATCAGATTCCCTCATAGTGTTGGCTCCATTTTTTGCTGGGGGGGGGGGG